TTTCAAGGTTAATTATCATCTAGGTCAAATTAATTTTTTATTTGTGACATTATATTAAATTGACATCGGGCCCTAAGGTTGGAAGTCGCATCAATTTAGCATCGATCCAATTACATCTTCGCATGACCAACATGTCAAAGAATGACATAATTACCTAAATGTGTTTAAACTAATTTTGTATTTATCCTTGTTAATTCTCTTCCTTTTATTTTTATTTTTATTTTTTTTGTGGGTTGAGACATCATTTTTTATTCAAATAGGAGACTCGTTAAGTAAACTTAAATTTTCCTAATTAATCTAATAAAGAAAAGCTCCCTTAATTTTTTTAACATTTTTTATTATTGGATAAAATATATTAAGACTACCGTTTGTTCTTATAAATAGGATACTCGTTGGCTCGACATTACAACCGAATAAAAATTCACATATTAAAATAAAATTTAAAATCTAAATATTTTTATATTTTTCTAACACAAATAAAATTAAATATTTATTATAAAATAACATAATAATTAAAATTTGATAAGAGAAATAAAAAAATAAATACTAAAAAGTGACCACAATGCTTCTAGAATGCTGTTGGGAAAATGAGAAAATGCCCTTACGTTTGAAAAATGACAAAATTGTCCATGGCATAAAAAATGATAGAATTGACCTTGCTTACTATTGGAGGTTGTTGTCGCCCGTTCAGCCACTAATCAATGTTTGGACCACTCCACTGTCTAGGGGACCATGATGTGAAGCTCCTGGTTCTAGTGGTGATGACCATTGTCATCTGAGGAAAGAGATCAACGATCGACAAGTTTCAACTGATCTCTTCCTTCTTGTTAACACAATCTTATCGAATTTAATGCCTTACAAGGCTCCAAATCAGACAAAATATACTATTGGGACCTGCTACAACTTCATTTTAGTCATTAGGTGGTCTGATTTTGCCAAAAAATGGAGAAATATTATGTCTCAGACCATGCAGAGGTTCATAATTTTTGTATTGGTGAGATCTCATGTGATTTATTTCTTACTAATAGTGAATTTTGTTGTCAAATCTTTACCTATTTTTCCTTTTTGTCAAGGACTTGACCCGCGAGCACTCAAAGAGTAGGTACTGGAATATTCAGAAGCTGTTGCCAAACCAGAAACCATCCGCTGACTCTGAAGAATATAGAATTTATGATGTGGAGTTGCTCGAAATCATTCCATGACCAGCTTGAGGAGACCAAATAAGGGGTGTGATGGGGTTTGTATTTTCAGGTGTTAAAACTTTCTTCAGCTAGTGGAGTACTGTAGCGGAAGATGGGGCATTTAAAGGTTTAGTAGGTGGTGTGTTTGTATTTTCATGATGGGTAAAGGTTTGCAATTGGATGGATATTTGAATTACTCAAAATGGGTTTGGATCATGTTTTTATCAACTATTCATTTTTGACCCATTTATTTTTTAAATGGATATCTATATCCACTTAAACTATAATCTCTCTTCTATCCATCAACCTATTTAAATTTTTTGTCTAAATTTGATTAATTGATTAAATTGTATTTACTATAAAGTATGAGGACCAAACAAATCCAAATAAGGATGAACATTTCCGAAAGTTTGATATTTCACGAACTATGGTTTAAAATGGGTAAGATGATAACCCTTACCCGATAGCAGAGCCTCACAACACAGCAAACACTACAACAGGAAGGGCTTAATTACCTTAAGATGTCTACTGGCTCGGCTGGCATGACATTGAAACTAGGGGCTTAATGAAACTTTTTATTTTTGATATACTTGTAATATATAAATAACCCAAAAATGTTACTATTGCTTTGATTTAATTCATAAGTTTACTTAAAAAAAATTTCTCAAATTTGATAAGCTTATATGTGAAAGACTATTCTCAAACTAAAAAAAAAATTCATGTAAAGTTAAACAAAATTTGGTGTATTTAATTTGATTCTTATGAAATACCTTAGGAGGAAGGGAAAAAAAACTATATGGCTTCTTCGAAAATTAATAAAAAAGAAACTCACTTGATTTTTCATAACTAGCTTTTAAGTGGTTATATTACACGAGTAATATCTAGAAAAGTATCTCAACTCGTCTTTATATTTTATGTATAATTTTCAATATGTCTCTACAAGTATTATTGTTCCTAATTTGTCCTTTCTTGTACCGTTCTTTGATCTATCTTTATATTAAATATTTTTATTTAAAATGACAAATATACCTTTACATGGGAAATTTATAACTAGCCTAATTTATTTTTAAAAAATCACCATAAAAAAAAATAATTTTGATACAATATGACAAAAAAATTTCAAATTTATTAGGTCGGATTTGAGTTTTTCCCGTAATATCTACTACTACTTAAATCTTTGATTCTATATAAATCTTTAATAAATCCTTGGATTAGGTAGCCCTCTCTAGTCCCTAGTAGGCTACGTCCTTGCCTTTACCTAAACCTATATAAATAAAGACACAAGTAAAGATATAGTTGTGTATTTTAAAGTATTATTTAGTAATTAAGAATAGAGTGATGGAAATAAAAATACGAGTAATCGAATGAAAATTAAAGAATTAGAATGACATTTATATTTTCATACTGTATTTGGAATACTAATAAGAAATTAGAATGCAATTTAAATTTTTTAATATCTATTTTTTTATACAAATAAAAATAATAATTAAAAAATAATTTTGTTAAACTATAATAGTTGTAAAAATAATAAAGATGATGGTAGTGATTGTGATTATAATTGTGGTGGTTCTAGTAGCAGTGATAGTGGTGGTGGTGGTTGCGATGGTGGTGGTAGTGATGGTGGTAGTGGTGGTGGTGATGATAAAAATAGTTAATAGACAATAAATAAATAAAATATATTATTATTTTGAAGAAAAAAAACTCATTCTCATTCCTTGTTTTTATTCTCACATCTTATGTAGGAATAAAGTTGTGTGTAAATTTTTATTCTCATTCTCACTCTTCATTCCTATTTTCATTTCATTCCTTTTAACCAAGCTAGTTATAACATAGGAATAAAACTTTCATTTTCATTTCTATCACTTTATTCCCGATTATCAAACAACACCTAATTATTTTATAGCTCATAAAAATAAAAATGTACATGTGTGTCTTCAATGTGGGTGTCTATGAATTTATCCTAAACATATAAATGTGCAAATTCTTTAAAGACGCAAAAGCTTATGTCATATAAAATTCTCGACAATGCTCCAAAAGAGATAGGCATGGACGCCGGTCGATGCATTATAGGCTTATTTTAAGACACAAAAAATGTGCCTTTATTGGCTGAAATCGATGTCTTAATTTTATTTGTTTATTTATTTACTTTGGTAGTGAGCAGCGGAGTTTAGAAATTTGTATTTCCAGTGTTGCTTTTTGCGATTATTGCTTTGCTTCGACCACATTAGATTATTTGTTTGCAACAGTCCTTTAAGCTAGTTAAGTCCATCATTCGATGTAATCTGATATTCAATAAAGATCATGATGCTTCAGTTAACTGATCTAAATAATCTTTTATGCTCTCTTACATATTCTCATTTACAGCATTTGAGTTTCCTGCTGGGAATGCAAAATTTTGGCAATAACTAGGATCTTAATCTTAGTGGGTTCGAACATATTCTGCCCCAGAACTCTTTGTTTTATATATAATCATATTGGACCGTGTATTGTAGCCCATGAAAAATAGAACCATACAAGTGACCTTAGGAAATTTTGTACTCTGCTTGTAACCGTTGAGGACCAAAGGTTGGAGCAAGCTTTTATATTCAAACATTTGCATGGACATTGTTAGCCAATAGGCTTTTGTGATATGGGCTTCGGTATGTTCTCTTTCTTTGGGTTAAAATGTTCCCTTTATTACTTCGGGGCTAAGACCTGGTTTTCTTCTATGTCCATTATGATCTCTTTGATCAAATTGATTTCATGCGTTAAAATAATAATAATAATAATAATAATAATAATCTTTATTACAAAGTTTGGAAAGCGGCCTGAATATTGACCCGATCAGGGAGTTGAGTCATCATTAATGGTTCAACCAGTGGGTTAATGGGCTAACGATAGGTTTTTGTTTTTCAACACAAGCTAACTATCGGTCAATTGCAATACAATTATAGGAGGAAATGAAATATGATTTATCTTTATATAATTGAGTGAGTATTTAATCGGTATTTATATTTTAAAATGAATTAGTTATGTTTTTATTATTTTAAAAAAAAATCAATCTATTTTTTTAATTACTTTTTCTCCCAAAACCACCTGAAAATGTTTTTCTATGCTTGACATGTATAAATTTTTTTTAAAAAAAAAATCAATCATCCACACATGTGAAATCAATCAGACTCCTGGATGGATTGAATTTATACTGGTTATGTCCAAAGAAAAAAAAAAAAAAAGGAAAGTGAGGTATACTAGCTTTATTTTCTACCGTTGCAAATTATGAAGAACAAAAAGTAATTAGGCTCATGCCATGAATGAATGTTACAACAATTACTATTGGCTAAACTCTAGTCAAGAAGGACAGTAATGTCATCAACTTTACCTCCGATGTGTACGCAATTGCAAAGGGAGAGCCATATTCCTCGTTGGTTGAATTCATGGGTACGCAACAGTTGCAAAGGTCCATGCAAGATCCTAAGACCAAGATCCTCCTTCAGTTTCTTAAAGAATCTCCTCAATCTCAGAGCCAAAAATAGCATCAAGCAAAATATCCGCTCCTTTACATCAAATTCACCTAGAAAAACTAAACGATTACCCTTCTGAACCCAATTCTCCAAAGGAAAAAGGACTTGAAATAATTCTACTATGCTGGTGACATGTAAAGAAGCCTTTTCCCTCTAAAAACCATGAGACTGCTATCACCCACATTGGCATAACACAAACGGTCTCTTTCAAGGCTAATAACATAGGCAGTGCGTGTCTGTGTGATCGTAAAGCAACAGTTTTGGAATGCGCTTTTAATAATATTTTCTTGGGATTAACAGCTTGACCAGACTTCAAGGATCAAAGAGCATTAAGATAATTCATCATGAGTTCTCTTGCAAAAATCTCAGAATCAATCCCTTTCCTAGGCCATCCACTAACACCATTAGCCACTCCAAAGGTTTGCCTTTCTTGACAAATAAAATGCGCGTCTTCTCCTAAACTTTCTGGTTTCAACTCCATATCTTTAGAGAAGTAACAAACCCTCGTATTCATATGCAACTTCTCTTTAGATGTAGTCAGAATAATCCTTTATCTTTATAGTAGTTATCAATACAACCTTCTTTCTTACCTCGTTAATTGCTAATTACGAATGCTAATATCCTAATGCCTAACAACTGAGTGGGCTACAGAGTCCTTATCTATAGCAAAAACAAAAAAAAAATCATCCGAAACCGCATCTGTCGCTTGAAAAATTGATTGATTTCACCAAGATATTCTTCTCTTTTTGATAATCATCTTTTTTGTTGCCTCCTATCCAACTGAGAAATAATTTTGATGGTGTTTGATCTCTAAGAATGGGAACATAATCGATTTAGTTGTAATTTAATCCACCCACATGTGTGATTGGGTGATTGATTTTTTCGGGAAAAAAAATCATGTACAAGTTGTATGATATTTTCAGATGGTTTGGCTAAAAAAATTGACTAAAATAATATTTCAGAAACTCGCTTAAATAATAGCAATCTAATTAACTCATTTTATGATATAAAAACAAATTAGATACTTAGTCCATTATATAAGAACATGCGAAACTATTTCTGATAAATACAATTTATAAAGATTAATAAAGCAAAAGATCGATAGAAAGATCTAGCATTAAGAAAACGAGAATCATAAGTGTAATTCTAGGTTTTTATTAAGTAGCTTTTAAACAGGTGACTAATTAGTAGAATTATTTTTATTATTAGAGTTTGTGTTTGATAATAATATTTTTGTATAATTCATTTGATTTTTAATGATCAAATTCTTAATCTTGATATTGTCAATTAAAAAAAAAACACTCAGTTATCTTGTGGCAGCACCAAAATTAAGATAAAACTCTTATATATGCTATTTGGCAGCACTAGAATTGAGATAAATTTTTAAAAACACTAGGAAAAAAAAGATAAATGCTTAAAATTTATAAAAAGCTTGAGATATATATATAGATGCAAAAACTTTGAACGAATTTGTAGTTCTAAAAGAGATTGGTATAAAAAGAATAATTGTGTTTGGTTTTATTAATATTTATATTTTTAAAATATTATTAAGAGAGCAAATATGAGAATAGGGGTTTTCCAAACGCTTTGTTATTTAGACAGATTTATAATTATTAAGATCATAATCATGTTAGTAGCCGTACATGTTCCTTTTGATCTGTTACTGGTCTTTTGAGGAAATATTTAAGAAGAAATTAATAAAATTTTAAGAGTATCAAAATTGGAAATGGTCAACAACTTGCTGGTTCAAAGGTAAGTTAGTTGGTCTCCAAATGAAATTTAAAATCGTAATTATTAAAAAAGGTTAAGTTTTATCATTTTCATGCCCAAAAAAATTAGTTATACCTCTGATGATGTTGGATAAAAATACCGGAAGAAGGCAAAAAAAAAAAAAAAGGTTAGAAATGAAACATTGAATTCAATGTAGATCACATAGAGTTCAATCATGAAATTAACAAAGGTGTACTCTTTGTGTCACGTCCCAAGTCTAAGAGAGGGGTCTGAGTTGCAATTGAACAGTTTTTGGATCTACAAGTGCAATATTAAGTTGTATCTCTTTATAGTTTAAAAGAAATTTTTTGCTTCATATAGATTCATTAGTCATTATTTTTATTTAATTCAATCTAATTTAAATTTCTTGTAACCCACCCATGTGGAATATAGGGGCATCACAGTTTGGACCTAGTAATTAAGCTGTAAGCATGGAAAAGGTCAAGAAGGTGAAGTTTCCAAGTAACAAAAACCGGCCTGCTTTCCCTTTTCAGTCTGAAGTTGACCTGGAAAGATTTCATGTACTGCTGGATCCTGCTTTTCCATTTACTTTCTGCATTAATCTTACAGTTTCTGTGAGACGATGCAAAATATTGTGACATCCAAAGCCTAACGTTTTCCTTAATTACTTCTCTAAATTTGGTCCCACAACTTTCTGTTCTAAAACCTAACAACAGACCCATTTAGAGACGGGAGCAGTTTCTGGCAAGGATAGGTTCTGTTAATCATCCCGGAAAGGCAAAAATGAGCTGTTCATGGCTCCGGTTTCACTGGCTAAAAGCTTGGCATAAAGTTGTTTGGACTCGTCCAGTTGCATGAACATCCAAAGAAGCATCCTGTGGTGCTTTTCATGCACTCAGGCTGCAAATTTATGAAAGAAATGGTTTTGCTATTGAAGATTGCCTTATTCTGCTCTGTAGAATCTTATGTGTTTCTATTATTAGCTCACGTAGCAGGCTACAGAAATATTGGTTAAACTGACCAAATTGTCCTTATAAAGTGGAGTCGTCGACAGAATGCTCTTCTTAGATCTAACGAAATGGCATCTCACCTGTAACAATGTTTCTTTCATTAGCTATAGGCCAATAGCCACCATTGTGTAATCCCATTAAGTACAATGATTGTGCTGATTTTAAGTTTCATGTGTTTTGGACGAGACCACTCAGATACTTTTAAATCTTTATTCTTAAAATAACTCACTTTTAATTTTATTTATCAAATCAAGGGATTTTTGCCACATCGTTCTCCACTTATTCATTTCATATTTTTCTAAATTAATTTAACAGATAAAAAAAATCTTAATGAAACATTTGATGGTTAAGAATGTTCATTTTCTTCTTTTATTTTTTAGGTTCAAATCTAGGGACTAGTACAGAGGAGAATTTTATTCAAAGAAAATTAATGTATCATATCGATTGAAAAAATATGCTTTTAAAATTATCTAATAAGAAATTTAATTTCAACTGATATATAAACTAATTAAAAATTATCTCAGTGTTGAGGAAAATAACAGATAAAAAAAAATCTAGATGGGCTAACTTTTGTAGAACAATGCATTGTTAGAACTTGTAAAGATCAAAGGAGAATTGGGAGTGGTGGTCTTAGAAATGATTCGCAAGAGGCAGTTAGATTAATTCAGTAAAAATATGGCTATACTCATCCTTGCTTTGCTTTGATTTCCGACATTCAACCTCTTTTGAGCAAAGATTGACACTGCTTAGTCCGGCATATTTTTTGAGAAGGAAATTATGATGCAGATCATGCTGCAAAATTAGAAGTATCTAATGCTATTCCTGTGCAGATTTGAAGTGATCCTCCTCCTAATAGTTCTTCGGTTCTAATAAAGACTTCATGGGAATTGCTCTTCTTAGATTGTAGTTTTCGCTTTCTCCTTTTCCTATGTACCAAAAAAAAAAAAGAAAAAGGAATATATAGTCCAATCATTTATAAAGAATTAATATGTTTTCATGAAGAGCGCTTCGGATCAATTTAATTCCAAACTTGAGATGTGTCATCACTTGTTTTTTACCTCCAAATTTTATTAAAAAGATTATCCAAATATTGAAACAAAAACCAAAAAAAAAAAGCATTTTGCGTCTTTATATGTTTTCTTGTAATTTTTAGCTATTATATAGGTTCTCATAATTTCAAGAATTTTTACATATTTCCTTTAATTAAGCAATGTGAAAAAAAGAAAAAAAAAGAACTAGGGGCAAAATTGAGAAAAAAAGAAAAATAGGTGAAACGGCAAAGAAAAACAAGGAAAGGACTAAAGAAGAAAATAGTAGAAACGGAGGACCAACATAAAACTTGTCATTCGTCAAACGAAATGATGTCGTTTCGTGTGTATTGGGAACAAATAATATCTGAGGCGAGGTTGAAACGCCTGGCATCTTACTATTTTCCCTTCTTTGTACTTCCCCGTTTTATTTCTCACTTCCTGCTTCTTCTTTTCGTCTATAGAAAAACAAAAGGGAGAATGCAATTGGCAGCTTCTATTCGGTTAAATCCATTCGGTTTGAAGCGTCACTAGGTGTATTTTCATGACCTTGTCTATTGATTACCCAAACCTTATTCCTGTACGATGAGTTTTTCAGTGCGCACTATGGCTCGAGTCCAAAAATGATCTTAGCATAGTTCGTAAAGAAATTAAATAGGAAAAAAATTTAAGACGACAAACACTAGAATTAATAAATAAAAAAATTAGAGAGAAAAGAAAAGAAAACAATGATTTTTTTATTATTATTCTTTTAATGAATAATTGAATAATTATTTAATTTTTAATTTTTCTTTTAATGAGTTTGCCAACTCTTCAAGGTTGCGACATTTGGAATTATTTAGAAGATGGGAAGGTTTGTGGAAATCCCCATCGGGCTAGGTCATGCTGAAATTCCAAAAGGTCCAATTTTTAAAATTAACCCAAAAATAAACGAAAGCAAGCCTTGAGCCTAATTTTTCCAACCTTACTGATTTTAGATTCCAAATGCCCAAAACATAATATGATGAATTAAATCTTTAATTCCAATTTCAAATTCACTTGACTTGAGATAACTTCACAAGATAGACTTAGAAAATAATTGAATAAATAATTTACAATAAATGAACTTAGGAATATAAAGATAGTATGATAACCTTGTTTTCGGAAAAAAAATATATTTTTGAATGATTTTTATTTATTTTTAAAGATAACCTATTCTTTATTCGTTTTTATAGAACTAGAGCATTTTTAAAATTTTTAATCTCTTTCTCATAAGACCGTGAAGACTTCCTTTTCAACTCTTTTTAATCTGGAAGGACAACATGACAGATAACGACAAGATAAATGAAACGAAATTTTTGATTTCAAAAGAAAAAAATCAAATAATTCTAGCTATTGATGATATCTATCTAAAAAATAGTAATTTCAACTTGGATAGAAACATATTGTGCTTTATAATTTTTGGGGACGTGATTTCCTTGCTTGAAATATTTATGGGAAGATTTTTTTTACTAAAAGCATCTCTGTTTCACGAAAATCGCTTGCATAGATATAATTTTTGGACTACTAGGAATTAGCGTTCTAAAGAAATATTTAAAAACAGAAAACCTAAAAGCCATTTCTGCTGTGAGCATTTGTTGATTACAGAGTGCCACATCTACATATAGATAACCTGAAACAATTTAGACTGACATTGGATGGGAGTTTTTATTGCAAAATGGGTTACAACTTCATTTTCACTCGTTGAGTTTTACTTGCAGAAACCAAAGTCTATATTTTTCTCACTCTCCTTTTTTTCCCACTGTCTATTACAAAATCCTGTGCGTCGATATTTCAAGACAGCGTTTCCGATCTAATTCTAGCCATGAAAACATTTAGGCCGGAAAGGAGTAGGTGATGGTAAACAATTTTATGTAAATTTAACTTTATCTTGTCAATGGTAGTATCTGCGTTTCAAAGAGATCATTTTTTTTAAAAAAAATTATAGATTAAAAAGATTATTAATTATTATGACATATCTATATATTTTATTCAATTTTTTTTTAAAAAAATACCATTTTCTAAAAATTATATTTAGAAAATAATTTATAAAATAAATTTTAATTATTTAAAGGTTTGATTGGATAAATATTTTAGAACAAATATAAATACGAATATGAAACATTTTTAAAAAACTGAGAAAGTATTATATACATTGATGCTTGCTTTTACTTAGAGAATAGAATCATGATAACCTTGAACACATGAAGTATTGGGTTTGAAATTTAACTGCTCTTTTTTCAAATGCTTGAATGGCTGCTAGCCTAATGCCTCGGAGAGGATGTCATAGGGGGACCAATTGGTTTCAAGTCACTTTCTATTTTTGGCTTTTGTCCCACAAATCTTGGTCATTGTCCATTTCATTCTCCGACAGGCAAAGGGCACCCCTGTCTGTTATTCTTGTTTTTATAACGTTGTTTATAAATAATAATTAGTTATGTTTTTGAATGAAGATGACACTACCTTCTTAAGCATTCAAGTTTTTTTTGAGAAAGATTCGAAGTCACCACCACTCGGACTGTTAGTGGACGAAAAACCCTGAAATTTCTACACCAATAAAAACATAGTGATAATTTTTTCCTTCTTCAACCAATTCTCTCTTCTGTTAGAGATCTCAAATGCATCTTGTTTAACTGATTCAAGGACAAAAATATTGCTACGTATAAAGTATGGATATCATTTAATATTATATATTTTCTGTACTGAGCATTGAATTAATGTCTATTGTCTCATAATTACATTTTTGTTCTCATATTATTGTCAATGAGTGAAGACTGTGAGTAATTGTTGTCAGTAGTGTATTTGGTAAATAAATAAATAAAATAAAATAAAAAATCAAACTTATGTTTCTATTTTCCTCGTATAGAAGCATGATTTCTTGGGAAATATCACAACCTTTTTTTATGTGCATATATTGTCAACATAGGTTATGGAACTGTTGCAGACATGCCTCTACAACTACTGACATGGAATGCTAACAAGGTTACTCGCACTATCGGATAAATGGGATTTAACGATGGGTAAAACCGTCGCTAAACAAAAAAAAACCGTTGCTAAAACGTTTTAGCAACGGTTTTGCGACGGTCAAGTAACCGTCGCTAAAAACTTCATCGGTGTTTTTTAGCGACGGTTTAGACCGTTGTGAAATTAGCGACGGTCTAAAACGTTGCTATTCCGTCGCTAAATGTCGATGTAAACGGTTAGGACATTAGCGACGGTTCCGTAAACCCTTGGTATGACCGTTGCTAAATAACAACGGATTAGCAACGGTCCGGACCATTGCTAAATAGCGATGGATTAGCAACGAGTTTGGACCGTTTCTAAGACCATTCCTAATTGAAAAATAAATTTATTTAAAACAATAATAAAATGAGGTCAAAGTAACAATTTTAAGGTAACAAAAATCTCGTAAAATATCGTAAACGTAAATTTTTATTATTCAAAATGTATTAAAACGTCGCTAAACAATTACATTATTGTTAAATAAAAAAAAACGATACATCGGTTGCGGTTAATACAAGAAAACATAAAATCTAAAATAAGTTAATGTCTAGGATCGGTCGAAGGTTGGGTGGAGTCGTCCGGAGGCCGGGTCGAGTCGTTGTCGGTCTCGGGAACGACGGATGAACTACCCCCACGCTCAAAATGCCGCATGAACATCTTCCG